CTCGGATAGTGTGCGAGGGCTTACGACGCGACTCGGATAGTGTGCGTGGCAATCCGACCCGATCGGCGAGCGCTGAAGCAAATTGACCAATCACAGAGCAGCGCCATGGGAACCGCATTCGAATGGAATGGCATTCGAACCATGGGAAACACTCTCGACCCTTAGTACACGCTAAATCCGCTTGGATCGCCCCGAGAGTGCCATGGTTTGCGTTAACTTTGAGTCGGACAGTGTGCGGTGGCCTCCCGATCGATCGGGAGTGCGTCGTATAGTGTGCGGGGGCTTAGTGCTGTGCACAGTGCAAAATCGGATAGTGTGCGGCTAGCATAAGAATATGCTAGGTTATGTGAAAGTGCAACAAGAGGTCAACCTACAATCATATATTGAAGAGTGATACCATATACATTTATATACTGATATATATATATATATATATACAAACAGTATTGTGTTATGGTTAGCGCTAGGGTTAGGGTTGCACTGTATTTTTATATATATCTATCTCTATAAGAGTTTCTTCTGAAGGAAAATTAGACAAAGGAGGTAATGGCTAGTTTGGGGAAAAAACGTGCATTATGAATTCAAATACAGGATGTATTGTAATACTTATAGGTATATAGATACAGGATATACTTATCAGTAAATACAGGAACATTTTCACATCGGCGATGTTAAATTTGACAACGGCGGTGCACCACGGTGCCTCCTATGTATAAGAAACCCTGTGTATATAGTGAGACATACCTCATAGTCTGAGTGGAGAAACTCATTCAGGACCATTTCGTAGATGGCAGGATCCAGCCTGACATCTCCTCTTGGCAGATACGGCGCAATGGCCTACATGGTGGAAACACAGCAAACCTTAATAACTCACAATGTATAACCCATCAAGTGTGATATCGCAGTGATTGAGGAAAACTGATTAAGGATTTAGCACATTATATTTAGCCATTATATGAGGTCTTACACACGATCTCATAGACAGCAGCTGTTTTTAAAGTAAACTGGGTAATTCTTTTATGCCAGCCAGATCAAAACTTTCTTTCATCATGCATATAAAATCAGTTTTGCAAATTTACTGTGTGCTTCATTATATATATATACATCACACTCACTTTCACCTAACCCTTATACCCTCAATAAAAGTTTCATGCAGTTTCACACAGCACAGGTATGGACTTCATAAACCTAGTCACTCCCACACATCGAATAGGAAAAAATATTATGTCATGTATATCAGAAGTAGATAATAGGGATTATCTATTTTCTTCTATCCCCTATTCCCTATTATCTACTTCTGATGTATATACATAAAGACAAAGACTCGCCCTCTTTCTCTCTCTCTCTCTCGGCTAACATTTTATGTTATAATATATTTATATTACTCCTAATCTTGATTATATTTTAAAGCTGTAACATGGCACATGTGTATACATGCATATGCATCTTCCAGTGGCCATAGTTAAGGCACATTAAAATTTATCCATCTCTGTTCCACAAGCTTGAAATTCAAAGCACATATTTTTATGTCTATGATAAACATTTGTATCATGACAACAACTATGCAATATGCTCTACAGTTTGATGTGATAAGATGGCATAGAGCTGAAGGAACGGGGGAATATTGGTGAAGAGATGTAAGAGCGCATCTGTCCATCAGCCGAGTGCCTTTACACACCTACAAACAGTGACACACTCCTAGAAAACTTTGGACTCAAGCCGGCGGATCTACTTGTGGCAGTGAAGGATATGCATGCACGAGAAGTGATCACTCAAATCTTTAGAGTTTGGTGCAAGCTCCCGCCATTACCGCCACGCCACACGGCGTGGATCGTCTGCATACCTTAAGCTGATGTATGCGTGCAAACTTGTACACCTCCTCTTCCCACCGCTGCTTGTTCTTGCCCAGGATCTTCACACACAGTCTGGCTGCCTCGTCGAGTTGCTCTCCCTCAAGCAGGTAGTTCAAATAAGCTCGTCCAATATCCTAGGGGAAATAACAGTGGCACCCTACTACGAACCTCTTTCAAAAAATAGGCCAATTCGATATACTGGTGAGTACAACCATAGCATCCCACTATAGATTACTTCCTTAAAATAGGCTTGTCCAATATTCTAGAGAGTACATAGCCATGGCACCCTGATATAAATTACTAAAAATACATTTTCTTGTTTGCCAATTGGTGTGCGATGTATTTTTTCCCATTGCCTACAGATATTACTGCCATTAAAATAATGAGTGCAAGCATGTTTGACACACACTATTGATTGGAGATGAATATACACACGCGCCAGTCTGCGAGACCATTACAAGCGCAGGTGCATAAACACGCCCACACACAGCTCACCTGTACATTGTGTCGCTTCAGCCCGCGGCCGTCGTTCCTCGTCGCGCAAGCCATCGCGTCCTGCCAGCAAACGCAAACCCGGGAAAATGTTAATCACGGTGAGAGAATAGACATGCACCAAGCTGCTACCCCCCTGTGAGTATTGCTAATTAAATTGACTATGGTAAAATTTGTAAATTTTTGTTGCCATTTTTTTACATTAAAAGTAAGAACTAATGGGACTAAACGTATCGTTAAATTCTTACCTGATAAGATTGTTTCTCAACTAGTTAAAAATCCAAAAAACCTGGACGATTTGATATTAGTGTTCCTAACATTAATTGCTTGCTATGGGATATGTATGAGTCACGAGTGTATGTTCACATCGAACAATATAGTTAAATAAGAAGTATAATGCAGCAATTTAACCATAACAAGTGCCGCATAGCGACAGCGCTCATCTAACGTCTACTGCGGTGACTCTGTGGTGGAGTGGTGGGATTCTAGTAAACCCTGTTAGTCCCAAATGTGTTC